CTTAAACATATCTACCCCACACCTTTTCAATAGGCAGATAACCTCAACTCCACCAGCTGCAGCATTGAACTAATACTTCAGTCCACCCCACCAGACTACGGCCAAATCCATCTTACTTTGCAAATCATTATGAAAATATCTAAACTAGCATCTGAAAAATGAATACCATCAGTGAAAAACAAGCCATCACATTGACCCTCAATATCCAGATTTCGAAATGTAAAACCATCGATCATTGGCATAAATTGTATCTGTTCAGATTGTGCCTAACTCTTTCTAATGCTTTAAAACTCACATTGCACTAACAGATCAGCCTCACAATTATTTCTGACCATATAATGGAGATTCTCGAAAAATCTGTTTAACTTGACAAACATCTTCTTTAAATTGATGACACAAAACAACAAACTTAACCAAGTCAAATAATTGCACCAATAATTAAAAATAATTACATGTGGCCACTGACTCACCTTTCTTACAAGTCTACAAGTTCTTACAAACCTTGTGCTATTGCTTCAGCTGCAGCACCAATTCGAAAAGAATGAGATATACTCCTTTTCCCTTCAGTACCAAAATAGTTTGCAGGCTAATTGAAGAACCTTGCAAAATTGAAATTTGGAAAGAGGAACTTACTAAAGGTGTATTAGTGTGTATATATATATATATATATATATATATATATATATATGTATACTTATTTATTACACAAAATCCAGTGCATTCACTTATCGACTAAACAGCAACTTCAATGTTTTTTTGTTTTTAAAAAACACCTAATCTAGGCAAAAATAATCGGGGTTTAGTTACATTATATAATGATACATTGCATAAGCCTGCCACAACGTCAATGTGCCCCATCTTTGACAGGTCCTTCTCTAACAGCCTAATGTCTGCTCTTATGAAGTTGCTGTTTAGTGGATAAGTGAGTGCGCTGGATCTTGTGTGTTGTATGGATTGACCCCCAGCAGCACCCCATTTATGCATGTTCAGATGAGTGCAGCCCCCTGTTTTTTTTTATATATATATATATATATATATATATGAAAAATAGAAGTTTGAAGGCACTCACTGTTTTCGGTTCTGAGAATCACGAAAATCTTTAGATAATATAGCCTCGGTGCTCCAGAGTGGAAATTTTTTTTGGAGTTGGCACTCACGGGACTTTGTTATGAAAAAAAAATAAAAAAATTAACTGTGCAGCGTCAATGTTTCAGACCCACCCGTGATCCTTTCTCAAGATGGGAATGTACTGTGCCATACGTCCATGAGGGGAGTTCCCCGGTCCCAGGGAAGGGGCGGGCAGGATAAGTTGCTTAGAGAATTCATCATGGACGCGGGCCTCGTGGACGTATGGCGTGCGCACCACCCAGGAGATAGGGACTACTCGTTCTTCTCGGCCTCTCACGGTACCTACTCAAGGATTGACCTGTTTTTGACGAATGCAACTGGTATGTCTAGGATTGTGGGATTGGCGCATGGGAATATATCTTGGTCGGACCATGCAGATGTTTCGGTCAAGCTGGGAAACCTATGTGTTGCATCCCTGTGGACATAGAGACTCTTTGTGGCCTTGCTCCGGGACCCGGACAGACCAAATTCAAAAGGAGCTCTCGGAATATTTCATCATGAACTGCACCCCAGATATGCGAATGAGCACGGTATGGGTGGCTCACAAGACGTTTGTGAGAGGGACTGTTATCAAACTCGCTACCAGGAAGAAGAAAATGAAACAGCAGTTGGAGACCCTACTGAATAAGCTCCTGACCCTCGAACAGAAACATCAGATAACGCCTGAAGATGAGACCTATGGACAACTGGATTCGGTAAGAAGAGATATCCGCACGCTCTTGCTAGGCGATACAGCCAGATCCATGGTGTGGTCACAAAGGACTTAGTATGAAAAGGCCAACAAAATGGACACGCTTTTAGCCAGGACACCTAGACCCAGACAGGAACGTTCCCATATAACGGCTGTCAGACACCCAGACGGTTCTATTAAGACGACACCAAAGGATATAGCTGCGGTTTTCGAGGACTTTTATAAACTCTTATAAAACCATACTCCAGATACTGGCCCTCGAGATGGGCGTGACGCGTATCGCATTTCTCATTTCCTAGAGGATTTGAAGATGCCTACACTAACGAGAGAAGTAAAAAAATAGCCTGGCGGCTGACATTACGGAGGAAGACGTGGACAGGGCTATATCGGGCCTGAAAGGGAATAGAGCACCAGGTCCTGACAAGTTCGATGGAACAGATTATAAAACTTTCAGGGAGGAGCTCACACCCAGACTGGTGAAGCTCTTCAATGAACTGAGACAGGGCGGGAAACCTAGCCCCCGACATGTCTCTGGCCACTATCATTCTGTTACCTAAACCAGAAAGAGATCCGCTCCTGCCGGAAAATTACAGGCCCATATCCTTAATCAATCATGATGAAGATCCTGGCTAGGATACAAGCGGATAGGCTGAACCCGCTACTTAACTCTTTCATACATGCAGACCAGGTTGGCTTCATCCAGGGGAGGCAGTTGTTTGAAAACACCAGGAGGAATGTAGACCTAATCTGGAAACAGGTAGCAACGGGCACACCCACGCTGGTTTTCTCAATAGATGCCGAAAAGGCTTTCGATAGGGTCTTGTGGCAATATCTGTCGCATTGTTGACGCATTTGGGCTTCCCGGAAGAGTATATAACAACAATTAAAGCAATGTACCATAAGGAATTTACGGCGTCAGCCTATGTGGACGATGTTCTCCTGACTCTCACGAACATGATGGAGTCGATGGGCGCACATCAGGATTTAATAAAGGAATACGGGGAGGTGTCCGGGTATAAAGCAAACCTCCACAAGTCTAGTGCATTGCCGGTGAGTATGACTGTGGCAAATATAGACCAGATACGGGACACTTTCCAAGTGAGGCTGGAAAAGGACTCCCTGAAATACCTGGGGATCCAACTGACAGCAGAACGTTTACATTCAGCTAATTACACCCCTCTGATACAGACATTAATGAAAGATCTTGAAAAGTGGTCAGATAAACCAATATCATGGATTGGACGGATACACTCTGTCAAGATGAATATCCTCCCACGCATATTGTTCCTGTTTCAGGCGCTACCCATCCGCCTCACCAAAGCACAACTGATACCACTGCAACGAACAATAGGGAACTTCATCTGGCAGAACAAACGACATAGAATCTCCAGATAGGTGTTATATAGACATAAAGACAGAGGGGGGGCTGGGCATCCCGAATCTATATTTTTACTACCTCACGGCTCAACTGGCGCAAGTGGTTATGTGGTACTCCCCGCCGGACGAGAGGAGATGGGTTGAAGTCGAGTCCCTAATGGTGGGCTCCGACATCCCCCAGTTCATGATGTGGGTCCCTTGAGAACACAGACCCATGATACCGGCGACCTGCCCAGCGATTCTCAACTCTCTACGAATTTGGGACGCGACCAATGTGAAGTACGGACTGACCTAGTCACCCTCCCCTTTGACACAGCTGTATCGAAACAGAGAATTCGCACCCAGTATGGCTGCAAGGGACTTTCGTAATATAGAGAGAACTGGCCTTCAGAGGATTTGCCACCTGTACCAGAATGGACCGGTGGTGCGTTTTGACGAGCTTCAACAACGTCAACACTTAACACCGGACGATTTCTTCCGATATATACAGCTTCGGGACTTTGCTAGACGACCACATATCAAAGCAGCTGGGCGGACACGACACCCAAAGGACTCATAACAATGCTGTACTCCCACCTCTGGGCCAAAATACGGAATGGGGTAGGTTGACATATACGGACCAGAGGGAAGCGGATCTCGGAGAGGTACTAGAAGGCATCAAATGGCAGGAGATATGGGAAGCAAATAAAAACGCTTCGATATGTGTAACACTTCAGGAGCAGACGTGGAAGACCATGTTCAGGTGGTATACTACGCCTGTGAAGCTGTTTAGGATGCAAAAAACGGATACGGATAACTGTTGGAGGGGATGCGGAGCTAGAGGAACACATCTCCACATGTGGTGGGAATGCCCGACTATACTCAGCTTCTGGAAGTCGGTAGAGAATTTAATGAAACAGATTTTTGACAGGCCCCTAGATCTAGACCTTCTAAACAGATCGCTAGAGGGATGGACCAGGAGAGAACAAAAATTGGTGCATAAAATCACTTTAAGTGCACGAAGAACAATTGCAGCCGCATGGCTGCGGCCAGAAGGCCCAAGGTTTTCAGGTGTAATTTCTAGGATTAGAGAAAGTAAACTAATGGATGACTTGACAGCCAGAGTTCAGGGGACCGCGGCAGCTTTCCAGAGAATTTGGGAACCATGGGACAATAGCGTAGTGGGCACGGGAGGAGACTGAGGGCGACCTTTTGGAGATGAGGGAGACTTTAGTAGGACAGGCCCAGAGGCCTACTGGTGATGGGAAGTGGTGCGGCTCCCTTGTCGTCCCCTCCCCCTCCACCCTCTCCTCCTCCTTCTTTCTTTAACCCTACTTTCCCTCGTCTTTCTTTCCTCTGTCTGTCTTTTTCTACCCTTGCTATCCAAGGGAATAGTATATATTCAGGCCAGATAAGTTTAAAACAGAAAGGGTGAGTCCAAAGTGACTTCAGATGAAACGTTTTTGATTTAAGGTTTTATGTAATGCTTGGCGCCTGACCTAAAATGTAAAAATACCCGGCGGTCAACAGGGAGTAATGTACTGCCAAAAGCAAGTTGGTAATATCTGAATGTTTCATCAATGCAGATTGTTTTGATGTGAGATTTGTAATGAAGGCTTCTGCGCAAGCCAGATTGTCATTGGTATCCTGCTGTACATGCCGTGCGAAAAAAAAAAAGAATAAAAGAAAATAAAAAAGAATGGGTTCTTAAAGGAGCACTATAGTTCCAGGAAAACAAACTCATTTCCTGGCACTATGAAGTCCTTAGGTTCCCCCCCCCCACCCTCATGGTCACCCTCCCGCTGGACTGAAGGGATTAAAACCCCTTCAGCCACTTACCTTTCTCCAGCACCAGGCTCTCTCTGCGATGGGGAACTCTCCTCCTCTTGCCAAATCTAGGCAAAAAATAAAGGGGGTTTTAATTACATTATATGATCATACATTGCATAAGCCTGCCACAATGTTAATGTAGCCCATCTTTGGCAGGTCCTACTCTAACAGCCTAATGTCTGTTCTTATGAGCTACTTACTTGGGGACCACTGACGTTGTGACAGGGTTATGCAATGTATGATTATATAATGCAACTAAACCCCCATTATTTTTTGCCTAGATTAGGTGTTTGTAAAAAAAACTAGCAAAAACGGTCAGCATCAAAGTAGCTGTTTAGCAGATAAGGGAATGTACTGGATTTTCATTTTTACTGTACTTATTGGCCCCCAGCAGCACTTAAGCATGTTCAGGTGAGTGCAGCCAACCCCTTGTTTTCTCAATACCAAAACTTACGGCCGAACTTAAAAGGAAGAACATTCCCTTTCCTGCCACAGCCAGGAAAGCCGTACTATTTCGCCTGTTAATGAAAGGCCTGGCCCTAGTTCTGAATGTAATATACAAAACAATTTGTCAGAACTACATAACATGATCTCCTCTCTATTGACTTCAGTAGCCACTATTAACAACAGATTGGATAATCTGGAATCCAATAACCAACCAATCATCCTGGATGTCCAAATTCCCGTAGCTCAGCCAGAACCAAACTCAGGAGGTAACTCTAACCCTCTACCCGCTAAAAGTACTAATATCATTAATCCGGTACATCTCATTCCTCAAAACCTTAAATGCGACATATTAGAAGGCAATGATATGAATCTGGCTTCTCTCCTCATAGCATCACAAGATCTAATTGAAAACAGGTCATACATATTTGACGATTTATTCATGGTAATGCAGTCTAGAGACCATAGACTTAACAGGAAGTTAAATATTCCAGAGTTTGTCTTAGCTTTTGGCTTATATAGGGATATTTGCTCTGCTTTTCCCCACCGTACAGAGGAATTAGATTTATACTTACACAAGCTGGTGGACTTAGCTTATAAATACGGAGGCTACACATTCTACGAAGTCCTTCTCAGCACTGGCGTACATACCGCGGTCGCAGGGGTCGCAGCTGTGACCGGGCCCGGCCCACCAAGCTGTGACCGGGCCCGGCCCACCTGCAACCCGGGTATGTATGCCAGCTATATCCAGTGCTGCAAGCTCCCTCTTCAATATATCTACAGCTTCTTATACACACACAAATCAACTGCTATTTTTTTTCAATAATGGTTTTAGTGGGGGCCTCATATATGAGTCTCGCCTAAGGCCTCGCCAAGTCTAGAGCCGCCACTGATTACATGTTAACTATATACCCAAACAAAGCTCCAATCTTATCTTCATATCCAGTCAAAAGTGTCCTTAGAGGTATTCAGAGATTAAAACATCAGAATCTCCTTAAAAGACTTCCCGTAGACTGTAACATATTTAGGAAAATCTCTGAATTATATACAGAGCTGCAGACCATGTAATCTCACGAGACCATCAGAGCGTTGCCGTGGTAACTCGCAGAAACGCTCTGATTGGCCAGTTCTCGCGAGACACACGGTCTGCAGCTCTGCTCACTGCGTAGTTGAAGTCCGGTGTCTGCGGTGGCTGGCTGGGCAGACAGGAGGGACCTCGCACCCGGGGGCATAACGGGCAAGCAGCCGGGCCCCCTCCTGGTGTTGGGTCCTCAGTCACTGACCGAGGACCCGACACAGTCTGCCCACAGGTGATTTAGGCGGCCGCGAGGCCCCAGCCAGCGCAAGACCTTAAGCGGCCGCCTAAATCGCCTAATTAGAGAGCCACCTCTGCTCTGCATACAACAGATACATTCCAAACCCAGAAAAGGAAATCAGACTTGCTTTCCATTAAATGTATAAATAATGTTTTGCGAAATAATTTTAAAAAATTCATAATTTTTGCCCTCTTTTTTTACAGGTCTAATCTCACGTCGGTTTCGGCACACCTCAGCCGACTTTGTTCTTATCAAATTACATTCAATTACAACCATACGTTCCACTATTATACCGTACACATGTGGAAGGCATATGCCTGAAATTGTGGGAGGGATTATTGATCCTATTTAAACCCAGTAGCCCCTGCTTACCTGTCGTCGACGATTTCGGAAGTTCCCCTCCCACCTCACCCTTTTTTATTTCATATTTATCTAGGTGGGCCCTCTTTTTTACAGGTCTAACCTCACGTTGGTTTCGGCACGCCTCAAACGACTTTGTTCTTATCAAATTAAATTCAATTACAACCATATGTTCCACTATTATCCCGTACACAAATATATATATATATATATATATAAAAATAAATATCAATAAATAAAAAAAAAAGGCTTTGATTACCCCAATATAAATATATATATCATTAAGAATATGGGACGCTGGAAATCCTCTGCATACAACAGATACATTCCAAACCCTGAAAAGGAAATCAGACTTGCTTTCCATGAAATGTATAAATAATGTTTTGCGAAATAATTTTAAAAAAATCATAATTTTTGCCCTCTTTTTTTACAGGTCTAACCTCACGTTGGTTTCGGCACGCCTCAAACGACTTTGTTCTTATCAAATTAAATTCAATTACAACCATATGTTCCACTATTATCCCGTACACAAATATATATACATATATATAAAAATAAATATCAATAAATATATATATCATTAAGAATATGGGACGCTGGAAATCCTCTGCATACAACAGATACATTCCAAACCCAGAAAATCAATATATATATATATATATATATATATATATAGAAGGCTTTGATTACCCCAATTGGGCATAAAGCCAGATGATTGATAGTCCAATATATATAAAAAGGCTTTGGTTACCCCAACTGGGCATAAAGCCAGATGATTGATAGTTTTCAACTGAACCCATCGAATTCTCCATTGTTGATCAGTTTTTTTTTTCTTAATACAATTTGCAAAGATTTATAGATCAGTAAGTTGTATACCAGGATGGCAAGATTTATTAGGACATACTAATTTACTGATCCTAAAAGCTCTAAAGAAATCCCAAACAAAGGCGGTATTGAAGAGCTGGTTCTCAAAAGAATCCTTGCAAATTAAGCTCAATTTATTAACCAGATCTAATAATTGAATATAAATCTGCTATCTTGAGTAGGTGACTCTTTAGCCCAACCTCCTTTCAGCATTTGCTGTATGACAAATTCTTTAAAAAACAGTTTTGCCTAATACTTTTAAGAAATAGGATACGTAGTAAAGATATATTTTAAGAATACTTAAATACAGCAGACTGATTTTTTTTTTATATGACAAACTAAATTGCATCCTGTTGGTTGCATCTTTATTAAAATTTACCATAGACCTATGTAACTCTTCCCACGCATTCCAATATGCTTTCCATGAAATGGAGATAATGAGAGTCCTAGCAATTGACAAATCTGGCCAAAGTTAGCAGCCAAAGGTGTTCAGGCAGCTCTGTTCCAAATTTGTCGGCTAAAGGTGTAAGGGACCTAAAAAGACTTAAAGTCAAAATGGAACAAGGAATCAGCTATGCAAATAATGTTACCACTTATTTGCTTCTACTTTTACCTAGATGTTTTTTTTTACCAAGCAAATAAAACTAATCTTAACCCCTTAAGGACTGGACTGTTTTTGCGATGTTGTACATTTGCGACCAGGCATATTTTTACACTTTTGTGGTGTTTGTGTTTGGCTGTAATTTTCCGCTTTCTAATTTACTGTTCCCATACAAATTATATATTGTTTTTTTCAGGACAAAAGGGGCTTTCTTTACATACCATTATTTATATAATCTCATGTATTTTAATTTAAAAAAAATAAAAAAATCTGATGAAAAATTGAAAAAAATACATGTTTTTTGACTTTTACTTGAAAAATCTTTTACTCATCTACAAAAGCGAATGAAAAAAACTGCTAAATAGATTCAAAATTTTGTCCTGAGTTTAAAAATACCTAGTGTTTACGTGCTTTTTTGCTTTTTTTTGCATGTTATAGGGCTATAGGTACAAGTAGGATATTGCGGTTTCAAAACATACATTTTTAAAATTTATCAATAGTGACATTGTAACACTATTATCTGTCATAAATCTCTGAATAACACCACACATGTACATATTTTTTTTAAAGTAGACAACCCAGGGTATTCAATATGGGGTATGTCCAGTCTTTTTTAGTAGCCACTTAGTCGAAAACACTGGCCAAAGTAAGCATTCATATTTGTTTGTGTGTGAAAAAAGTAAAAAAACTAAATTGAACGCTAATTTTGGCCAGTGTTTGTGACCAAGTGGTTACTAAAAAAGACTGGACATACCCCATTTGCAATACCTTGGGTTGTCTTCTTTTGCAAATGGTATGCCATCATGGGGGTAATTCTCATTCCTGGGCTACCATACGCTCTCAAAGGCAACGTAACCAACCTGGCCATTTTCAATGTAAAAATATTTGACCCATATATTTGACCTTGTAACTTTCAAAAATGCTATAAAACCTGTACATGGGGGGTACTGTTTTACTCGGGAGACATCGCTGAACACAAATATTAGTGTTTAAAAACTGGAAAACGTATCACAACAATTATATCATCAGTAAAAGTGCTGTTTGTGTGTGAAAAATGCAAAAAAAGTAACTTTCACTGACAATATCATCGCTGTGATATGTTTTACTGTTTTGAATCACTAATATTTGTGTTCAGCGAAGTCTCCCGAGTAAAACAGTACCCCCCATGTACAGGTTTTAGGGTGTCGTAGAACGTTACAGGGTAAAATACAGTGCTAACAAATTAAATTCTCTGGAATTTCGGCCTGGGTTGGCAGGCAGGTCCCTCAAATTGCAATCAATAAAATTACTGAATTATGTAAAAATATTACATAAATATGCACATAGAATTTAAATATATATGCATATTTATATAGTTTAAGTCTACGTGTATATTTATATAATTATTTATGTAATTTTGTATATGGACATATGTATATTTCGTATTATTTTTATTTATTAATATATACATAGATATATATACAAATTCATTCTAAGTGTATTTTGATATAAATATATATATATTAATTTTAAAATACAGTTAGAATAAAATTTCATATAGATATATAATTTTTTTTAAATTTTTATTATTATTTTAAAAAAATTATTTAATTTAAATTACTTATTATTTATATTTTATAATAATATATATATACAATATATATAGTTATTATATATATTATATATATACGTGTGTAATTTAATTATAAGTGTATTTTATATTAATATAAGTACATATTAATATAAAAATACACTTAGTATGGCATTATATATATGATATATAGACATATATTATATAGATATAATATATGTCTATATATCATATATACACCTATATAATTATTATAATTTTTTTTATTAACATTAACTTTATTTTATTTTTTGATTTTACACATGCAGGGAGACTGCCTGTCAGCACAGGCAGTCCCCCTGCAGGCAGACACATGGACACCTATTGTGACCATGTGATCGCTGTGTTAAGCGATCACATGGCCACAGGGGTCCTAATTCAGTGTGGGGAGACTGTCTGGGCTGCAGGCAGTCTCCCCACAACCGGAGCCACGCTTATCGCCGCCGGGGGAACGACGGCGATCAGGTAAGTAGCTCAGACCGTTAGGACGGTTCAGGACCGTCATCGGTCTGCAAGCCAAAAATGCCGATGACGGTCCTGAACCGTCCTCGGTCGGGAAGGGGTTAATAAATTAATTACAGGGGTGGTCTTTGCGCGAAGGGAATTGATTACCCATACAACCTGTAAATTGTCACAATAAAAAAATTATTCTTTTATTAGCTAATTCAGAACCCTAGACTTTCTCCACCCACATCTGAGGCCATTGAGCAGCTTCCCATTTACTTTGAAAGTAAATTCCACATCAATAAATATATCTGTTTATAATTTTTATACAAAATCACATTGCCAGTAGAACCATTGAAATTGCTCGAAAACACTTTCCAAACCTTTAAATCCTATTTGATCTTTCTGGATACTTGTATATAGTGATGTGGATTATTTTTTATTAAACCTGCCAACTCTCTGGACATATGCATGAACAAAAAAAAAAACCCTGGCCATTGGCATTACCCTTGATGCAAAGTTCAATATGCCCAACACAGACCTCTTGACTCTTGTTTCACTAACACCTAAAAATATGGAAAATTTCTAGTTCCATTAATTTTTTTTTCATCAGGTAAATGGAATTCCATTCTTTCAGCGTCAATGATAATTCCAAAAAATTGAAGCAGGTAGTAGGCCACAGAGCCACCCATTTTTTTTTATTATTTATTTTGCCAGGGAAAATCCAAAATATTGGACTATAAACATGAAACATTATACAGTAATAAATGAAGGCAATCAGAAGATCCTTCTTTGCTCATGAAAAGAAAACCATTCAAATAGTGTACAGTTGACTATACTCCAGACACCTGCTTAAAGGACCACTATAGGCACCCAGACCACTTCAGCTTAATGAAGTGGTCTGGGTGCCAGGTCCATCTAGGGTTAACCTTGCAGCTGTAAACATAGCAGTTTCAGTGAAACTGCTATGTTTACTTTAGGGTTAATCCAGCCTCAAGTGGCTGTCTCACTGATAGCCGCTAGAGGCTCTTCCGCGAACATAGGGGAGGGTGTAGCTGGAGTAACAGTTGTGCTTGAATGTAACATATGTCAATGCATTAGTGATACCCTGGGTCATGCGATCTCAATACATATTATTCTGCTTTTTGATAATGAGCAGTATATGGGACCAACAGTTAGGACTATGTACTATTTCTGTGAGATCCCAATACTTGGGTGAGACATATCATATTCTATAGGGATCAGGCAAATAGCAACAATAAGTTGCTTCCCTAAGCAGCATTGCTTTTCTGTTTATCTGTTCCAATACAAGAAATGAAGAGTTTATCACACTGGTAAAATTCACACTTCGAGATTGGATTGCCAAGCTGACACTATACACATACAGTGAGTGCTGCCATCAGATATTTTGGGGACCCATACACCACTTCCCTGATTCTGTCCACAGGGCCTGCTCTGACTCCACCCACAGGGCCCACCTCCATTCAAACACCATGTCACAGATACTGAGAGCTGCTGTCAGTGCCACCCCTGTCCCACCTGCGGGGATGTATTGTGTATGTGTGTATAGGGGTTGTAGTGTGTAAGTGCATTCAGCCGATGACGTCGGAAGGAGGAGGAGTGTCCCCAGCGCCAAGGGAGCCCGGCGCTGGAGAAAGGTAAGTGTTTAACCCCTTCCTCCAACTTCAGCCCGGCGGGAGGGGGGCCATGAGGGTGGCGGCACCCTCAGGGAACTATAGTGCCAGGAATACAAGTTTGTTTTCCTGGCACTCTAGTGGTCCTTTAATGTTAGGGTTAAAATTAGAGTTAGATTTAGGGCGTTATTTTGTATTTAGAGATTAGTGCCACCATGGAAAAACATCAAATTTAGAATTATGTATACAGTTAGTTTGCGCCTTACCCCTAGGATTATTATGGTTGAGGTAAAAAGTGAGAGGGGTTAAATTGGTTTACCTAATTATAATTTTAACCCTATTGTCCCATGTGCTGGCAACTTTACAGCATTTTGACTGCCATTCTTGTATATATTTTGGACCATATAGTGTGGTCCAATCTATTCTTATCTTTTATGATTGTTTGTGGATAGGCTAAGAGGTTTATTCCTATCAATGCACTTCTGCTCCAATTTAAAACGTTTCCCTTTTTTAATTTGGCTCTACGAACTGCTGTTTAATATTTCTCTTCTGTTGAAGCCCTTTAATTCACATCACTCTCAAAAGTGTTTGACCTTGAAAAAGGACTTTGATCTATGGAGTTAACTAAGCTTGGTTTGATTCTGTTATTTATCTTACCTGGACTCTTACTCTGGGCTGGATATATGGATTAACCTCACTGAACAATCCTTAACCCTAAACTTCCAGGGAATAACCTTTTTTATCATGGTCAAGGAAAGCACCTCTCTCCCTTAGAACTGTCATTAAAGTACTATTTTGTAATCTCAGTTAATTGATTACCCATGTGTTTACCATGCAAGAGTGTTTAAAAACAGTTTTTAAATAAAAATATTTTTTTTTCAGCCAGAATAAGAAAAGTTGTGTCTTTCTGCCATCATTTGTTTTTAGAAATTATAGTTAAGCAAACTAGTGCCATCTAGCGGTAAATTAGTATAACACACAAAAGTCTGTCATATTAAAGGGAAACTCCAGTGCCAGGAAAACAACCCCTTCAGTAACTTACCTGAGGCAGCGCCAATGTCCCACGTTGCTGCTTCTCCCTCCGCGCCGCTCCTCCTTCTGACTGTGTCGGCCGGTGGGCGACACTGATCCCGCCCACCGGCCGGGGAGACCTAATGCGCATGCGCGGCAATGCCGCGCATGCGAATTAGCGCTCCCCATAGGAAAGCATTGAAAATGCATTTCAATGCTTTCCTATGGGGAAATGAGCGACGCTGGAGGTCCTCACACAGCGTGAGGACGTCCAGCGATGCTCTAGCATATGTTTCCTGTGCTAGGAACCAGGAAGTGCCCTCTAGTGGCTGTCAAATCAGGGCTATCTTTCTCTCCCCAGGGATTCTAATAGCTACAGTCTAAACTTCTAATCAACACACCACACCTATTAATACAACACCTTGACTTAATGCTGAAAGTCTGCACTTCAATTGCATCTCATTTGTTTCATTTCAAATACATTGTGGTGGAGTACAGAGCCAAAATTATGAAAGTTGTTTCAATGTCTGAATATTTATGGACCTAACTGTATTTAGTGTTTTTGGTTATTACACAAACTAGGTTGCTGGTTTTGAAAATTCACAGTGCTATTCTTTCACTTGCTATTGTTTAGATTATAATTAAAAAAAAAAACATTTGTGAAGTGTTTTTGAATTAATATTGGAGTTATAAGGAAATTATAGTTTTTTATTTTATTACTCTCTTTTTCCTAAATTCCTTTTTATGGTTTCATTACCTTATACACTATTAATAATATTTACATTAAATGTACTTTGCGTTGGGTGGGGGCTCTAATTATGATACTTAAAGGACCACTATAGGCACCCAGACCACTTCAGCTCAATGAAGTGGTCTGGGTGCCGGGTCCCTCTAGTTTTAACCCTGCAACTGAAAACATAGTAGTTTCAGAGAAACTGCTATGTTTACACTGAGGGTTAATCCAGACTCTAGTGGCTGTCTCCCTGACACCCACTAGAGGCCGCTTCCACGATTCTCACTGTGAAAATCACAGTGAGAAGACACTGGACGTCCATAGGAAAACATTGAGTAATGCTATGGGCGGTTTGAATGCGCGCAAGGCTGTTGCCACGCACGCGCATTCGGCATTGACGCCGGCAGGAGGACAAGAGGTCAATAGCGCAGAGGGAGCCCGGCTCTGGATTAAGGTAAGTGGCTGAAGGGGTTTTAACCCCTTTAGGCCAGCGGGAGGGGGGCCGTGAGGGTGGGGGGACACACACCTAATAATCCTATAGAGCCAGGAAAACAAGTAAACAAGTTTGTTTTCCTGGCACTCTAGTGGTCCTTTCAGGTGGGAACCTAGTTCCCCACCCATGAGGTGCGGGTTGGGGCTCTAATTATATTATACAATGTGGGAATGGATATGCCATTGTCACTCTCACAAAAGTGCCATTGTCTTCCTTCAACAGCACCTCTGCCCAGTGGCACTCCTTGTTTCCTGAATAAACCAAATGCCACTGGGGACAGGGAGATCTGGGTCTGAAAAGCAAACTATGGAGCTAAACCATTTGTAGTGGTTTTAACCCCTTTGGGTAAAAAAAGTGCCAGGGACCTACTGGCACCTTAACAACTCCAGTTATTTCATTTTTGCGATATTGGTGAATGGTGCAATTTTTATATTCCTTGTTTATTGCACAACACACATTATATTAAAGGACAAAAAGAGCTGTGATCTGATATGGCATATACATATGTATATTCTTATTTACAATTAAAAAGAAAATACAAAAATGCCAACACTTTATTTCACGGTTTTGACAATAATAATGTGTGCATAATTAATGCATCTTAGGAAAAATAATTCAAAATAAATTAATGTATTTGTCCTGATTTACAGAGTACATAGTTTGTCTATAATTTCAGTTTATTTTGTTCATTACAAGTCACAAAATAGTATAATTGAGTAAATTACAAAAATAGTTTGATGTTTGACTTCTAAGTTTAATTTAATAGCTAATAAAGAAAACACACAAAAGTATATATTTATATAAAGCAGACATCACAGGAAATTTACCCAATGATATTTTGACACTTTTTATATAGCCATGTAACATGCAATCTCTGCTAAATATTGTAGTAAAATTGTATTTCTAATTTTCAAATTTTTAACATAGACACGTATAACACGTTTATGTGTATTTTGTAAACCTGATGTGTGTCACTCCTGTAAAAATTCCAATATAGTGTTCTTCTACATCTCTTGAGTACAAGAATACCCCCAATGCAGGGCTGATGCTGCATACTAACATACTAATAAATTTATTTTAATTTGCAATTTCAAAATGTATTAAACCTAAAGTTTAAATCTTACAGTTATATAGATAAATAGGTAACATTATGTTTTCATATAAATAATTATTTTGTTATTTGATAATACAATTAAAAAAAACTTCAGACATTCATTTATCATAAACTGCTGTGAATACCAAATGTTAATGTATTAAATCTAAGATATATATATATATATATACACTTAAAAATAGGTAGCAAAAACAATACAATTCAAATGTTAGTAATATTTTTAGTTGTATAGGTAAATAGGTAAAGTTATGTTTTCATATAAATAATTATTTTAAGTTATTTGAAAATACAATTTAAAAAAACAACAACTTCAGTGGTTTAGTTATCATAAACTGCTGTGTATGCCAAATGTTAATTATGCTCTAATCTATTAAATCTAAAAAAAATATATATATTTCGATTTATCTAGCTATAGATATAAATCTAAATATAGATTAATATATATATATATATTACATACATAATAAACATTTAACAATAGGTAGCAAAAATTATAACATTCAAATGTTAGCAATACTTTTACAGTTATTAAGAACATAAATCCTTAGACCAGGGGTTGGCAACCTTTTAGCAGCACCGTGCCGAAATAAGATTGTGATGTCCCATAGCGAGTTTTTTTAAAATTGAGGTGTGTATGTTGCCCTATTCTGCTTGTGTTATTTATGCTGCAGTTGCTTTGTTTCATTTTATTTGTGCGTGTATGAGTTATTTTATTGTATATGTTCATGAGTAGTTTGTGGTGATGTGTATGATACCCATGAATGTGGGCTGTGTATGGGGGCTGCTTGTGGAATTGTGTGTGTGGATGGATATGTCACATTGTGTGTTTGATAGTGTGTATGTGTGGGGCTGTTTAGGGTACTATTTGTACGAGGGGAAGGTTTTCTGCATTTCTGTGTATATCTAGCAGTGTGGGTGGCTTCCTTGGGGGCCAGTGGGAACCGGGCTGGCCAGGGTACAGGTCAAAGACAGGAGCTGCAACACTTGCTGTGGGCTGCTCTACTCCACTGTGGATTCCCATTCACAAGTGCTGGGAGGAAGTGACCAATGCATAAATTGAGGATTAGCGGATATCTGAAGTTTTACTGGGACTCCTGATAGGCCAGAGCCTGTTTGGCTCTAGCAGCCTTGAGTGCCGTGCAAAGACCCCCAGAGTGCCTTGCATGGCACACGTGCCATAGGTTGCCAACCCCTGCCTTAGACAATTGATCACTAAACACATTTGCATTGAAACCTTTTTAATCCATAAACACTACACAAAGGTGTATATTTGTAGAAGATAGACCCCACAGGTTATTTAACTAAGTGGATTCTGACACTTTTCATTTAAACATTTTATCAAAAAATCTGCAAATTTTATGTATCTATAAATTGTGTTTGTTTTTTTTAGACTTGTGCAAAGATTAATTTGAGCTGGTTCCTCTGAATAGAATTCCTGCCGATTGTTGATTGAATTGATTCTGAAATGTTTTAATTGTAGATGGTACAGGTAAGATTGTTTAGGAATCAATACGTTCAGTTATTGAGTAAAATGAATTTTATTTGGACAAACAGGCTCAAGCTAAAGCACGGTCTGAAAATTCTCACATGCATATTGTTATGGTTTAGGAAAACTCAGTTCATCCGAGCAGCAGTCTGTTAATCTATTCCAGTGGGATAGGTCTGGAACCTAAATATGTCAACCTGGCAAAAAACAGTGTATATTACAGAGTTTTATCTTAAGGATTACATTCTGTTAAAACTTTCAATAATTGAAAAAAAAATATTACTACCTGTGATTTTTATTATGCAGTTTACTTCGCAACCTTAATCATTGTCAAATTATTACTAGTTAAAGTAAAGCAAAATTATGCCATTCAGACAAAAGTAGTTAGTTACTTACTCCAAAGGTTTAACTGTTTATAGATGCAAAACACAATTTAAGCTGTACACTTGCAATCATCAAGATAAATATATACTCCGGTTCAACATTCCCAACAAACTTTGAAAATTAACTGTCCTGTTCAATAAACAGACTAGCTAACATTTCAGCTACTCAGGTAGCAACGTCTATGTTGTACAAATATAAGTAGAATGCACTATAAACTACTATAGAAAACCGACAACTTCCCTGTTGGATATTAAGTCTACTGACTACAGGCAAAGTCAAGAAGGCAGCATGTTGGGTATATCTTCATAAGTAAATGCTAAAATAGTCCTTAATATGCTATATTCTGTAGCTGTGACTTCACAACAGCTCATACACATAGATTATATCTGTCATGTATACCGAGGTTGTGTCCTAACATCACTCATACATTGTATACTAATTTTAGAGTTCTGTTTCCTGTTGTGGCAAACGTGCCTATGCCTCAAGCTCCTGGAGGAGCCTGCTAGCTCGCCTCCTGCCCAAGGGCTATTGTCCATATCCAAAGACCCTGTTCGGGAGTTAAATCTCCCCAGCCGCCATTAGCAGCTTTCCCTTGGTTCTAGCAGCCTTGAGTGCCGTGCAAAAACACACCCCTGCCTTAGACAATTTTACACTTTCCCTTCATTCAAATGGAACTGAACACTAGCATCCTGGTTGCCGTTCACATGAAGAAACCCACAAATTGTCCTTAGCCGCGATCGATATGGAACTAAATTCAACATGAGGACTTTGGGGGTTCCCGGTCACCTCAGCGGGAATTAGCCGCAAATGTTATGGAACTGTTTTTTGCATGACATGACCATGCGGCTCCCAGACAACTTGGTCCAGGGTTTTGAACAACTTTACAACCCGCCAGAAGAGCGTTTTTTGGAGGGAAGGTGTCTGTGATTAAGGGGAACAAATGCTACCCGAGACCCAGGTGGAGAACCCCGTATTGTGGCTGCAGGAGCTCCCGAAAGTTGACCAGCCAAAGCACCAAACGCTCTGGAACTGTTTTGGGCATAGGACCACCTGTTCAGCCAGTCAGAACTTTAACACAGTGGCATTTCCTCTACACTGCATGGATCTGAGGGCTATTTGGAGAACTTGGGCGCTCAAATCAGGGCTATTTGGGGATGTATTTTTTGGGGGGTTATTATAGATTTTAATGATGTTTTGGGGTATTTTTATGTTTTATATTTTTATATTTGCCTCTCTGTACAAGGGAGATAATTAGCATAGCGGTCTTTAACTCAATTATCTCCCAGGCACATAAATCTTTGGGAGGGGCTTGCATTGTATTGTGTGGAGGCAACCTGGCCATAATAAACAAGTTCCTTACACCCTTCACTCAGTCTGGGCTAGTGTTTGGGTGGATCAGCTATACTCTCTGCAGCAGAACTTAATCACTTACAGCTGTACCCAGGACCCTGTTCCAGGGCGGGAAGCGACGGAGAGACCTCAGCCAAGTTGCGGCAGCTAAGGGCTGAAGCACTCCTGTGTCCCAGAGGAGAGCTAGGAAGCGAGCTTGGCGGAGGTACCCAGTTGGGGTGCCAGGCGATCCGTCACACCTGTCCTGTAAGGGGAGGAGCTACTCATTGGTTCATGCTGGTTGATCAGGAAAGACTAAACTAATGGAAAACAACTAAAAACAAAATTCAATTTACACATCTATGATAATACCTCACTAGGGCTCGATAAACATTATAAATAAACGTGTCATTGTAGAAAATTATTACCAACAGACAACAACTAAAAACTGAGGTACCTTCTGTGTGGATTCAAAGAAAGAGTTAAAATCCCAAACAATGATTTGTTGAACCTTACAGAGTTCTACAATAAATTATGATTTTAATCTTTCATTAAAGCTAGAAATGTTTTCTAAAACTATTTAGCACCATACTAGAAAATGACTGTAGATGGAGCTGTGTCATTAGAATTAGAAGCACACTTCGAGTTCAGATGCGAGTCAATCTTCACCTTACAAGAACACAAAAAGGATACAAAAATAATACAAAATTGTTACCTTCTCATCTCCTCTACCTGTAACATCTCTATAAATTTGTTAAGGAATTCCATTACAGGATGTAATTAACACAGGATAGGAAGTTTTGATTTTGTCATAAAAATTATTTTAAAAACCCCAAAACTCCATGCATACTACAGTAAAATAAAAGCTTCTTTCTGGAAGTGACAATGCAAACTTACCATGGACCTTACAAAAGCAACATCATACATTGTACAGCACCATAGAATTTTGATGGTGCTATATAAATAATAAAATAATAATACTAAAATCCTGCATTTTTTCAAAACTTTCACATCAGCCAAAAAGAAGTATTAGCACTTCATTTTAAGACACTCATTTTTTAAGCCATAAATAAATACTGCAGCACTCAGCAAACCAGTTCAAAGACAGAAAAGTTCATATCAGCAGTTAAAGTAAGAAATTATTAGAGGGGTAAGCATGACATTATAGGAACGTTTTAACTTTACTAATACAAATCGGAATTTCTGACGGAAATAGGTCCTCTCCCCCTCCCTGTTTGCAAAAAAAAGATAAAAAATGTTAATTAAAGTTTTACTTCCCTTTTATCAGCACTGAAGCTGCATTGGGGCTTCTTACCTCTCCACTTTGCTTTGCCATGGGGGCTTCCATATTATATGACCAATATTTACTCACTGCAGTAAAAGCGCCTCTAGTGACTGTCATAATGTGGACATTACCCTGCAAGTAAACATGTATTATCATTGCAGGGTTAGAAGGAGCCTTAACTACTTCATTGAGTGTGGAAAGCCCTTATCCACAATTTTCAATATGAGTAAAAGTACTCCGATTGGTTGCCTAGTGAGTCAAGCAATCAGAGTCTTCTGACAACCGTCTCTCAGGAAATAAACCTGCATGGTAGTGCTTAGCTCAGGGCAGCTAATGGAAGTTATCTAAACAGTTTGACTACTAGCACTGTAAGGGTGGCAAGACACTCCTAGCTTCTTAACCACTACAGTGGTCTGTAGTGTTAACGGTGTTTGAAGTGTTTCTTTTAGTGGCTGTTACAATTTTATATATTTACAGGCAGTTTTGTAAGCTAAAATTTGGGGTAGAAGACTGCATTCTATATTCGGAACTAAAAAAAGGTTGTGTGTGTATATATATATATATATATATATATATATATATATATATAGAGAGAGAGAGAGAGAGAGAGAGAGAGAGAGAGAGAGAGAGAGACAGAGAGAGAGAAAGAGAGAGAAAAAAATAATCCTGCACTCCATATAACTCCAAATATACTTGCCCGGTGCTTGTCAGGCCAAAATACAGAGATAAACAATCCAGATAGCACTATCTGGATTGTTTCTCTCTCTCTCTCTCTCTCTCTCTCTCTCTCTCTCTCTCTCTCTCTCTCTATCTATCTATATATATATATATATATATATAAATGGGCACACTAGTCAAGCTATAAGACTTGTTTTTCCCACAGAAATCTCACTTTAATAGTGCTCTCACTACTTTCAGAGTTTAGTCTTGTTGTTAATGCAACTCATCAGCATGAGGTTGGTTACTGGCTTGCTATGGAGGCTTGGCGTTACTTGTGAAGTACATACCAAAAGAGTTGTGTTGGGGAAAAACAAAGTGTGGATGAAAACCACTTCTACCTGAAGTAAGTGGATAGTTAATACATTTCTAAACACAAGTACGCACAACAGTCAAGCCATAAGGCTTGATTTCCCACAGAAATCTCACTTTAACAATGCTCTCACTACTGCAAGGGATTCTGGATAGGCCTATGCAAATGACCTCAACAAAGAACCACATTTGTGCCTCATAATTCCACTTTATACATGGATTCCTTGGAGGATGTATCTGCTGTATACAACTTTGAAACACAACTCAGGAAGAGGAGCAAAGCCAGTGAACCACTCATGGACAGATGTTTCGTTGTTAATGCAACTCATCAGCATGAGGTTGGTTACTGGCTTGTAATGGAGGCCTGGTGTTACTTGTCACTCTATGGCACATTAACCCAAAATGTAGTTGGATGTCAATAGTCCAAACTCTGGCACAGCAGTGCAATGGTTTATGCTGGTGCATAAATATGTGTCTCGCGTAAAAGTGGATCTAAAAGTGGATCTCATGCATGTACAGGGCAAATATTATTAATAATATTAACAACTACCAATAAAAATGACATTATTATAATTTTATCAGTACAATAATGCATAAAAACATGTCTAAAAGGTGTTGAGTAGGTGTATAGCTTGTTAAACTTTGAAGGTAGGTGCATTCTGGTCGTACAACAAAAAGCAGGCATGGCAGACTTCTCTAACGGAAAACTTAGATTTGAGTCTCCTCAGCAAGGACTGTAATATTGGAATCCTTATGGCCTTGCAGAGAAAAAAAATAAATAGCAGCAGCAAGGCAGCAGGAAAGTCCATCATCCCACTTAAAGAACATTTTGGGGCAGCATTGCGGGGCAGGTTCATAGGTCCGATTGATAAAGCCCACAGCACGTGGGCGAAACGCGTCTTGGACTTAAAGTGATACTTTGATATTTTATACTTTTGATAATTGCTATTTGTCCAATATATTTTTTATCCACATTTATTTTATTTACTTAGTTCCAATACATATAATATACTTTTTATTGGCTTTGTCCACTTCCTGCTGCAAGAAGGGAAGGTGTCCTCTCAATAGACACCCAGGTCTGCTATCCAGAGCCAGGTTTTATTGGCTCTTAAACAAGTGAGCACAACCAATACAACTGCCTGCTATAAATCTGTGTTTATACGTAATGCACTAGAGATCTCTCTCTTTATCTTGTTTTTGGAGGATACATACCACGCTAAAGGATACAGTGTCACCAACGACACCGCGGAAGTGATTTGAGTCTGTCTCCTAGAGGCTCTCATCAATGTGAGTTTAATACATTTATAATTATATTGTGTATCCACACCATCTTGTGGATTTACACTATATTATTTCATTTTATGTTTCCCTATATGCACTGAGTGTAAATGTGAATCTTACACCCTAATTTGGGGTAAGTGTACTACTTTTGTACTTTATATAGCGCTCCAATCCCTCTACTAGTATAGATTTAGGTCTTTACTCACATCTAACTGATTTGCTTTTGTTCATAGGTGGAAAAGGACTGTCCGCATCCATGTAGCCATTAGTCCCCCCCATGGTGCTGAACCCCCATCAGTCTCCCCCAAGACAGCCACAGCTCATTAACAAAGATGTGACACTGTGGGCACTTGGAGGCAAAGTCAGTCCATTGGCCTCCCACACCAAGAGTCCGTGGATGCCTGCCTCTTGCAACTCCACAGCCCCACTTGAGCTTTTGTGAAATGATTGTCCCAACATGTTAACTCTTAGGATTGGTGTACGTCGTTCCCAGCCACCGGTCCGCCAGAAGGTCATCACAATCCTGCCCCACAGGACTCACAGCATCAGGTACATGGCACTCTGGGGACCCCTCAAACCCAGAGTCAGGGGCACTCACCTCATCAGCAGGCAGACCCCCGGGAGATCCAGATATAAGCCAGCAGGCCCAAGAACCCAGAAGCAGCTTAATCCACCTCTACGTTATATGTCCCTCTCACTCCTCCACCACAAGAACAGGGAGGGGATATCCAGCAAAGCATGGTCCTCAGCCTCAGTAGCCACACCAGGTGCGGCCAAAGGAAATGACACATAGGCCACTGGGGAGCTGGGCCAGACATAATGACATCCATGCTTGGCCCCTTTTTTAACAGTGTCATGAAGGGGAGGGTCATAGTCATTATCAAATAAAGACAGGGTGACCAGATTTTGGAAATAATAAAACAGGACACCCATTAGGCAAGGAGACAGAGAGATCTCGTGACGCTGGAAATAAGGTATGTAAGTATATGTAAATAGTGTTTTCACAACATGTTTGTATTCCTGACACTATAGTGTTCCTTTAAACAAATTAAAGGACCATTCTGGTCACCATAACAACTTCATCTAAATGAAAATGCTATGATGCCAGGAGGCCCCTGGTGTGTTCACTTTCCTTTAAAGGGTTAAACCACTCTCAAATGGTTTACCTTTCACCTTTACCTTTCTGCGCCCTTCTGCTCCTTTCTCTTTCTGATCCCTTTCTGCTAATTTCGCTCCCTTCTGCTCCTTGCAGACCCTTTCTGCTCCTTGCAGACCCTTTCTAATTCTTGCTGACCCTTCCTGCTCATTTCCGTTTCTTCTCCTATCTGCTCCTTCTCCTACTTTACCTTTACTCCTTCTGTCCCTTCCTGCTCCTTGCTGACCATTTCTGCTCCTTGCTGAACCTTCCTGCTCCTTTCTGCTTCTTCTCCTTCTTTACCTTTGTGCTCCTTCTGTACCTTTCTGCTCCTTGCTGACCCTTTCTGCTCATTGCTTCCCTTTCTAGCTCCTTGCTGCTCCTTCTCCTACTTTACCTTTGTGCTCCTTATGTCCCTTTCTGCTCCTTCCAGCTCTGTGCTGTCCCTTCCTGCTTCTTTCTATTCCTTCTCCAACTTTACCTTTGTGCTCCTTCTGATTCGTTCTGCTCCTTTACCTTTGTGCTCCTTCTGCTCCTTTCTGCTCCTTGCAGACCCTTCCTGCTCATTGCTGACCCTTTTCGTTCCTTTCTGCTCCTTCTCCTACTTTACCTTTGTGCTTATCATTCTTTCTGCTCCTTTACCTTTATACTCCTTTTGTCCCTTCCTGCTCCTTGCTGACCCTATCTTCTCCTTGCTGACCCTTCCTGATCCTTGCTGACCCTTTCTGCTCCTTGCTGCCATGGGCGTTTGCAGGAGAGGGCAAAGGGGAGCACTTGACCCCCCTGGATTTTTCAACTTGCGCCAGTGTGATGGAGAATGAACTGCGATACCTGCGCAGGCCAGTAGGTGGCACTGTGTGTGAAGAGAGGCAGGGATAGGAAGCTACAGCTTATCCCTGCTTCTCTCTCCTGACTGAATCTGCAGAGTGCAGCCAGCAACTCCCAGCCTGCAAAGACAGCCTACAGATCAGGTAAGTGAGGGATTGGGGGCAGCCTACAGGAAGGAGAAGCAAGGAGCAGGAAGGGACAGAAGTAGCACAAAGGTAAAGTAGGAGAAGGAGCAGATAGGGTCAGCAAGGAGCAGGAAGGGTCTGCAAGAAGCAGAAAGGGTTTGCATGGAGCAGAAAGGTTAAGTAGGAAAAGGAGCAGGAATGGTCAGCAAGGAGCAGAAAGGGTCAGCCAGGAGCAGGAAGGGACAGAAGGAGCACAAAGGTAAAGGAGCAGAAAGAATCAGAAAGCGCACAGTAAGCACAAGGTGAAGTAGGAGAAGGAGCAGAAAGGAACAGAAAGGGTCAGCAAGGAGCAGGAAGGGACACAAGGAGCACAAAGATAAAGTAGGAGAAGGAGCAGAAAGGAGAAGAAACAGAAATGAGCAGGAAAGGTCAATATGGAGCAGAAAGGGTCAGAAGGAGCAGAAGGGAGCGAAAGTAGCAGAAAGAGATCAGAAAGAGAAAGGAGCACAAGGGCACAAACAAAGCAGGAAGGTAAAGGAGCAGAAGGAACCAAGGAGGAGAGAAGACAGTGTCAGAAGAAAAAGAAGACTGGGACATAGCAATACCAGGGTACTCTTTATATGGAAAAGATGGGGAAGGCAATAAAGGGGATGGTGTGGCCCTGTATGTGAAGAATAGCATAAAATCTAGCCTACAAAAAGTTAGTGAGGCAAACATAGAGTCTGTTTGGGTTACTTAAAAATGTGTTAATCACACAGTAACTCATATAAGTATGATTTATAGGGCTCCAGGACAAATAGAAGAGTTAAATAATATACTAGTTGAGGAAATAGCTAAAATGACAATGAAGGGGGAAGTTACCATCATGGGTGATTTTAAGCTTTCTGATGTGAACTGGAAAACCAAAATAGCTGCTTGTGCCAGGAGCACACATATTCTAAACTCCCTACTGGGATTGTCTCTAAAACAAGTCATTGAGGAGCCAACTCATAAAGAGGCTATACTAGATTTAGTGTTAACAAATAGAGATTTGGTATCAGATATTACTGTAGGTGAAAGTTTAGTATCCATTGATCATCAGTCAGTGTTGTTTAATATAAGAACAGTGACTGAGTCACACCACACAAATACAAAAGTTTTAGACTGTAGAAAAGCAGACTTTTCTAAAAGTAGAATATGTGTAAAGGAGTCATTATCAGACTGGAGAAGTTTAAATGGAGTTCAAGAGAAATGGGATTATTTAAAAGTTGCACTGCTGAAGGCAACAGAAAATTGCATTAGGCATGTCAGTAAAAGCAAAACATTTAAGAAACCACTGTGGTACTCCGCAGATGTCGCCAAAATAGTAAAAAACTAAAAGTTAGCTTTTAGTAATTATAAAAAAAAACAGAGTGAGGAACATAGACAGATCTATAAGA